TGTTTTGAACCGATATATCCTTCATCATCACGCGAGTGCAAGTTGCTTGGTTATGTGCATCATGTGACCCACTGAGCATTGAACAGTGATTTTTGACATTTTGTATCCAACTGCATCGCGCATACCTTTGATAGTTTGCATGAAATAATGATTGACTAGTCATTGACATGCTATATCACGCATGGATTAAAAACTGTCGCAGTCTTTTTCACCAAACGCATCGAAGCCGTAAATTAGTTAGTAGGTCAGAATATACGACGACGGAAGGACGCACGTTTTCCTCGAGCGTCGACCGGTATTGTCTCGACGCCATGCACTAGTAAAATAAACCGGAAAGTACCACTTTGTACCTGGACCATGGACACTTTGCATACGCTTAGTGGGGATTTACCTCAACTTTGGGCGCGATGAGCGTTCACTCAATATTTTCATTAATGCTGAATACAATCCCAGTCACAACAGCCTGGTCAGTAGGTACCGAAGCTAGCTGGTTATGGCAACTGAGCCAGGAGCGCTGCCATGATATAGCTTCAATATTATCACTGCCTTGAACCGGTCATTCACTGAGGCTCCGCTGACGACACAGAGCGGAACAAAGCCATTGCCAGGCAAGGACAACTGTGCGAGCTCGTTCTTCGTTTTACGATCCCGGGTCTGTTTTCCTGACATACACACCTCAGCAGCAGACCTTCCGTATAGACTCTGCCGGGCCGTCGGACATGGGTGAAAGTGGGCGCGCGCGGCCGTGCAGCTTGCCGAAGGGATTCGGTCAGCGAGCCGTCTCATTGGGGATTCAGCAGCGCGCCACTGTCTACTGCGTCAGATCACGTACGGCTCCGGCTGGTAGGACCGACTGGAATGCTGTCAGGCGCCGCCGGCCAGGCAGCTGGAACCGGCAACCGGGGTCCGGACACATCCATACCTGGGGACCCGACGTAGGATCCGAACCTGTTCATATTAGGGACAATCCGGATCCATCCATTCTTGGAAACCGACGAACAGCCCAGGACCCGTTTTGACATCGGATTCGGACCCATCGATAACCGGGACCCGACGTTAGATCCTGGACTCATTTACACCCGAACTCGCCGGGGGATTCGGATCCATCCATACCCGGAACTCGAACCCGAACCCATATCCAGGACCCAGTAGAGGACCCTGACCCATCCATATACGGGACCTGACGTGGGATCCGGACCCATTCATATACGGGACCCGACGGTAGAGTCTGGACCCATACAAAGCCAATATCTAACACTAGATCCTGATCCAGTCTACACGGCACCTGACGTCGGACCGGAACCCATTAATACCCGGGACGCAACAGAAGAAGCGGATTCATCCATACCCAGGACCCGACTCAGGGCCTAAATAAAGCCGTACGCATGAAACGGGACTTGATGTAGGACGTGGATTTCTGACCTCAATCATAATTTATATCCATAAATAGGGACCCTCGAACGGATGGGAACTTGTTACGTCTACTGTCCTTCAGCCATCGATTCGGTCACTGAGTAATAAGTTAGTCAGGACACATTGCAATTCCAATTGTACACTGAACATGAACAAGTGTGATGTGTGTATGTAGGTATACTGTTTGCTCATAGTCTAGCAAGGACAACCGTAATGCATATTGCACAGTGCACAGTGCACATTGTACACGCTATTCTGAAATATGGCCTGCCCTGTGCGCGGTCAAAACATGCATTGACCGACATATAGCGTGCTGCTGCAACAAAATATCGCACATTTGTATTCTTACCGACACTTTTAAGCATTCAATTACAATGTTGTATTTTATATGGTCAAGTCACAAGGTCATGGTAATAAAATGGCAAACTATGTTGCGAAGTTTTTGAAATCAGGCCGCAACCAGAGCGATAGGTATATACTAAATGATCGTGAAACTCGAAAGGTGACTTAATGCTTCTGATCAACATGAGCCTACGTGCAACGTTCTTTGTTTCACATGAATATAAATTGCGGTTGAATAAAAACTACACTAGCTTGAACATTACCATGCATTAAACGGTTATTCGAAATCCGCATGCCTTCTCTGTTTAAAAATGCAGCATAAGGCATCTGTCGCCCAGTAAAAGATCTGCAGCTCGCCGAAATACGTCCTAGGTTACGTAAGTCGTCATGGGCTCGTCACGCAATGCTACCACAGAGCCGAAAAACACCGCACGTCACCGAGACTATCATCATGATCAATCGCCGGATGACTACTGACGTACATGGAAAATATGTGCCAGCCTTTGATTCACGACATATGTGACATGGCTAGCCAGAGCACATGCATCCCGAGCAGGTTATATTGTGACCAATTGTGACGTCCAGGGAATGCTTTCCCTGACGTTCATAACTCATATGCGAGGACACGCACGCATCTTTACCTCAAGATAACAGTCAATGTTCCATGTTCGAGCTGACCAAGTTGGTGTAGCGCTGTAACTAGGTAAATGATATTCACTCCGTTGACGTGGTTTGACAACTCCAGCTATCTCAAAGACATGACCAAGCAGCTGATGTCGGTCCCGTCCTAGCATATTCCCCCTCATGCAAACGATAATATGAAAATTAGAAGGAAAATGTGTTGTGTTGACAGACTGACTATTGATATGACGACGGTCAACCAGTTCATGCGCTCACCCTCCAAGTTGTTCATATTTTTCATCTTCAAATTTTTCATTTTGAGAGCATATAATTAAAGTTTTCGGGTGAAAAGAAAGTAATCTACAGGATCTTATCTTATAGTCACCGTGATCTTATCAACATGCTTCTTTGCGACTTAGGAGAACTGGCACCATCCCTTAACCCTCGCCGGCACAGGGGGGGGGGTGATGCAACCCCCCTAAGGTTTTTCGCGAATAACTCGCGTAAAAAGCGGCCGATCGCGACGAACCTTTCAGTACCCTCGCATTGATCAATTTTACACCTACCCTGAAAATTTCATGACCCTGACCCCAATGACCTTTGACCTGTGACCTCTTTTTTGTGACCATGTTTGGCCGAAATCGCGGTTCGGCGAATGTCGGCTCGCATTAGCCGCGCGTTTGCAAGCTTTTCGTGGTTTCAAACGTTCAAACATGTGATTTGATGTTGTTCCCATGCATTAGGGTGGGTGTCAAGGTCACCTGAAGGTCAGGTCAGGTCATTGACCTTTGGTGACCTCGGGTGACCTCGGTTCACTTTTTCGAGTTTTACATGTTTCTAGGCTAGTTTTTGGAGCTGAATTCGAATTTAGCAACCATTTGAACATTTACGAAGTAGTTTTGATGCCTTCGTAACATGTTACGAAGCTGTTCGAGGCGGTTGACACGTATTACGAATACCCGTCACAACCCTTACCGGTTGACCTGACCTGACCTGACCCGACCTGGTCTAAATGCTTAAAGACATCATCTCTGATCAAAACTAACACGATATTCGTGATCAGCACCCCGGAAAACCACATAGCAGCCACACTTTACGACTTTCTAACAGGTCCCGATTTTCCCGGTTTTCGGGAAATTGATCTGACCTGGAAGGTCACCCGATGACCTAGGACCTTAAAATTGGGTATCATCGGCTTCCTCTCGTGACGGGCAACACGCTCGTTTTTTCCGCGAAGCTCTAGCTCGATCAGGGGCCAAACGCGAGAGGGGGAGGGTCGTACCAACCCCCCCCCCCCTTGTGCCGTCGAAGGACTCAAAATGGCCTGTGCCGGCGAGGGTTAAACCAAAATGCTACGCACCAGTAGGGGGAGACCGGGGCAAAGCGGCCACACTTCGTTTCAGCCCCCAGCACAACTGGCGTCAGATCCAGTCTATGGATGCCAATTATATTTCTCCTCTCGGGCGTTCGAATGAGCCAGAACGGAGTTTCCGACCCGTTGCCTTTTTTCCGTGACAGAAGAAAATGTATATTTTCCCAGGTTATTCTTTTTGTTCTAATATTTCTACGCTTTTTAAATACTATGTCAGGCCATAACCGTTTGAAAGTTTATTCAAGTGTTCTCATTCTGCAATGAGTGGTTATCGCATATATCCTCTGCCAATTCTAATGTGTTTTACCCCATTAATAACATTGCTGGAAGATGTTTTGTCTCGGATGGTAGGAGCGGGGCAAAGCGGACTGGACAGAGCGAACAGCTCCTAATTCCATGAATTGCGTTCACTTGGACAACAAACGTTTTTGATTTTGAAATGTATGGTCATGCATTCATCCCGGCCACTTTACAGTTACATAAGTTACTCAAATAATGCAATTTAAAATGTTTTTCCATGAATGTTCTTGTATTGTTTACCTACAGGTGAACGATTGCAAAATAAACATCCATCCTCTTTTAAACATTTTACCGTCAAAAACTTCATTCCTACATGAGGCAACTATCCTGTATCTCATATTGGGGCAAGAAAATCGCCGGTGACCGATTTGCCCCGAGGTCTGGGACAAAGTGGCCAAAAGGCATAGATTTAAAGTTTTGCCAATATCTCCTACCTATATATGAACGCCTTTAGAAATGAAACGAGGTTTAAGCAAAAGCCAACATAATAGCGATCACCTTGGCATAGAAAGAAGCTTTCTATGTTTACAAGTTAAGTGTCGGCATCGTAAGAAACGTTAGGGTGGCCGGTTTGCCCTTGTCTCCCCTAATCACGTTTCCTAATGAAGTCTGAGTCTCTGACGAGCAGCTCATGCGTGCCACGAGCCAAATAAGTCACCGGGGAAAGGTTTGCACGTTTGCGTAACTCGCAGCACGTGCCCTTTTTCAAAGAACGCACCACCTGATATCTAACTGATCCCCCCAGACATTTAGCGCACTGACCGCAGGAAACTACTGAGAGCTGCCTGCGACCCGGGCCGCCTCGATCGCGTGCTTCAGCCGGCTATGGACGGAGACTTCATGCAATTAGATTCTGCCTGAGTCGGGCTGCATCGGACCGACCAGGAAAAGGAAGGACACGAAAAAATCGTGCACACAATGGTGGTGCGACTCTTCGAGAAGCTCTGCCCACACAGAGCCGGTGGCGCCCGCGGTCGGTGTGCTGGTTGCCCGGCCATGGATGGACACGATACAGGATAAAGTGTATAAAGGCACCCTGCACGAAGGGCACGTCAGTGATACCAGGACCATCACAGGATGAGGAGCCTTTTGGTGAGTGCTGCAAACCGAGCTGAAGTAACATCAGTGTGTGCATTGTGGATCGATGGTGGAATGATTTTATTGACTGTTGAAACACAGCTCGTAAATAATACGCTTACAGTTGATATAATATACCTACACACATACAACACAAATTTACCTATGGATTCATAACACGGCACACATGAATTATTCAAATGCCATCAACTTACAAAAAGGGGTAATCACCAGCAGATTATGCATGGATACGAAGCAACACTCATGATTTCGAGTCTAGCTGAACATCATAAATTGTAACCTAGTCAATGCCTACTTAATTGATATTCTTAAAACGCCATCGCCATTCACATAACATCTACCTTCTCACCCATGCATTCTCAGACGTATACATACATAGTTAGATGCGCACATACATTCAGTCAACTCATTGATCGCCAGGTTTGGGCATTGCCGTCACGTTATCTCGTATTTTGCTTTTCCTGCCTTCTTGGTCATGGTTGACACTTGTCATAAAGCTACAAGTACATAAATACATAGAGTTTTGAGGTACAATATGGGAAGGCCATTAACTATAACATTTTTCATAATTCTGCTGCTCACCCAATTAAACCTGCTTTTAAATTAAGGGCAATAACCTCATCAAAATACCCAGCATGCTGACTAAACATAATATATACAAGTTGATCAAATAATGCCTTATATATTGGAAAAATAACCAGCCATTATCTAATGAGCAGCGTGAATATATTCCGTTAAGCAATAAACGCCATTGACAAAAGGCCATGACCATGTCTTGCTATCTTTGATATTTGAATACAAAAACAAATTACTTTTGCGGCTCTGCTTGACATTAAGATCTCTTCAAGTCTGTTTCTTCAACCCTCGCCCGTGCCTATTGGTGTTTTGCCAGCGTCTAACGCATGAAGGGGGGGGGGAGTGCGTACTGCGTTGGACCCTCTGCTGTTCGGCCCCTGATCGAGCTAGAGCTTCGCGGAAAAACGAGTGTGTTGTTCAGGACAGGAGGAAGCCGTTGATACTCAATTTTAAGGTCCTAGATCATTGGTTGACCTTCCAAGTCAGGTCAATCACCAAAAGGTCGGGGAAATCGAGACCTGTTAAAACTTCGTTAAGTTAGGCTGTTGTGAGGTTTAACCCTTCAGCGCCGTCCCCGCTGATCTCGAATTTTATGCTGGTTTTGTGCACAGATGATGCCTTCATACATTTAAGCCAGGTCGGGTCAGGTCAGGTCAGCTAGTAGGCGTTCTGCCGGCTGTATCCATAATAGGTGTCAACCAAATCCAAATCCAAATCCAAATCCAGTGTATTGAGGTCTCCATTTAAATGGCTTTTCAGCCCTCTCGTCGTGTACATACAAGTATTAAAATTCGCTGACAAACACGTGAATCATTACGCAGTACGTACATAAAAAGGCTAAAATCAACGCAATAGCGAAACACTAAACACCAAAAGAAATAAAAGACATCTAAAATACATGGTTTTTCATCCGCTGCCGAACCCGCTGTTACGAAGCTGTCAACCACCACTGACAGCTTCGTAACATGTTACGAAGGCACCAAAACTACTTTGTAAATGTTCAAATGGGTGCCAAATTCGAAATTAGCTAAAAAAAACTACCCTAGAAACATATGAAACTCGAAAAACTGAGCCGAGGTCATCAAAGTTCAATGACCTTGACCTGACCTTCACGTGACCTTGACACCCACGATCATACCTACATGGTACCAACGTCATTTCACATGTGTAAACGTAAAACGTCCACAAAAAGACTGGAAACGCGCGGATAATGTGAGCCGACATACACGTACGCTGAAATCTGAATCACGATTCCAGCCAAATATGCAGTCTAAAAAACAGGTCACAGGTTAAAGGTCAATAAGGTCAGGGTCATTTTTTTTTTCTGGATAGGTTTAAAATTGATCAACTTGAGGTTACTGACAGTTTTGTCGAGATCGGCCGCTTTTTGCGCAAGTTATTCGCGAAAAATCGAGTGGGGTCCGTTCGACCCCCCTATAAGTGCGAGGGTTAAAAACTTGTCAGCGGATACAGTCATCGTTTTTTTCCGCATTATAGCACCGCATAATTCAAGTACTGCTCACTCGAAGCTGTAATGCTTTCATAAATATTTAAATCTACCCTAATCCCATATAGCTGATAATCAGATTTTTATTAAGTACTTATTCTTACGTTACTCATCGAGTTTTTCATAACAAATAACTATGAACTGGCTGTCATGGTCTAACCCAAAAGTCATTGACTTGCTGAACCTTCCCTCACGAAATACCGGCTTTGTTTATAATCGGCTTTTGTTGATTAAAACGTAGAAAATTATTTTACTGCTTGTTAGTTTGGCCTAGGTTCATGCATTTTACATTTGAAAAACAACCACAAATTGACCACTAAATCGCCTCAAAGTTGATAACAGAGATGTTATCCAGAGCTGCAGGCCACGTGTCCGCAGCTGGCGAAGTTGATTGGTTTGGTTCAAACAACACGCTGGACACATCACAAATTGGACATGTGTGCACTGCATGGTGATTTGTCTTGAATGTTACTTATTTTCCGTTTGCCGCCGTCTCTGGACAAGGTGGCTTAAACATGCATTGATCGCCTTGCTTTGGAACTCCAACTATGCAATAGAAAAAATTACATAGCACGTTGGATGTGTTTCAATGTAATGGTTAGATATAAACTTATATAGCCAGGGTATTGCTGTGCTAGAGAATTCCAGTGTGTTTCTAAAATCTACCAAGCTTGTGATTACACAATAACTTTACAAGAAAGGCTTCCGGCTCGATTTGCTCGTAACTATTTGCTGATATTAACGACTACCGTATGGGATTCGTTTATCTGTATCGGCCAACTTAGTTTATTTATCTGTAATAACTTCGTTCGTACTTTTTTTTCTAATTCTTCGATTATATTTTAGGTACCTGAGTATCTAAATAAGGTACAATCCAGTGATAAATTGTCCAAAGAAAGAAGTGCATGGAACAACCGTTCAATGCTGGCTTGTTGATTTTAATAACCTAACTTGAAAATAAGCGCCACGATAGCTTGATTGGAAGGCCGCATCATTATAGAAGATGATGGTAATCCAGTGGCCATTCACCTGTTTAGCTTGGAACTTATTGATTTATGATGTCTGGATATCAATAACAATCTTGCGACTTCTGACATTTCGTAACGATACCGGGGCTTCAGGTTCCAACAGACTTCATTCGGAAGCTCAAAAATATATAGATACCGCTCCTTCTACAGCGTAATAACTATGAAATAGCAAGGCAGTCGTTATGTATGAACCAGTCAGCTTAGCAAAACGTGTCTTCGCAGGCAAACATAGGTTCAACACACTGCGGAAGTTCAAGACGTCTTAAAAACATCTCATCAACAAACACCAGTCCTTACTTCACCTCGACGTTTCTACTGCCCATCAATAGCACCTCGCGCTAAAATAACCTAAGTATGGATGTATTCAGTTGCTCGATTTCTTACTCAGAGGGCCCGCACTTCGCCCCTGAGCCCCACGTCTCCTCCCGAGTTCGCCGCCAGTGACGGCCCCGTCCCCGTCTCTCTCCGTCAGGTATTGCTAGGTGTGCTGCTGGCAGCACACGCTGCTCCCCAATGGCGGCTGCCCATTCTACCTTCGCCGCTGTCGCCGGCGGGCCCGGCCGACCCAAACGCCCTGGAACAGTCACCGCTGTTCATCGTCCCGCCATCGGTCCCCAACTC